TTAGCATCCAAATGAAGTCCCATTATTAATTATGGCCGATTAAGCCGACCTCTCGAAAAGGTTTCATTTCCACCGAGTTGAAAAAGGGAAAACCCTCGGTTAAGCCGAGGCTCATTTTAACTTAGCATTCAAATGCAGTCTCATTATTAATAATGGCAGATTGAGTCGGTCGCTCGCACAGGTTTCATTTCTATCGCGTTGTGAAAAAACCCTCGGTTGAGGCGCGTTCGGTTCATCTTAACTTGAAATAAATTTCTATTAATCAGTGCCGATCAAAATGGCTACTTACAAAAAATTAAATCAGCCTACACCCCCGACACCTAAGGCCGAGCTAACAAAAGGCGCTACCGGCCAAATTACAAGTAATCCCTAAACCTAGCAGGCTATACAAGCCGATCCTATTCAACCGCCGGCTCCACCGGGGTCCCGTCTCCGACGACATCAATTATTTGGTCATCTTCCCCAGTTGATTGCACCGGGGCCCGACTAGACATATTCTGGCGCGGGGCCTCGGCATCTGGCTCGGCTCCTTGGGGGAACTCGGCGTAGCTCATAAACTTGCCACCCAAGAAGTCCCGACTAACATCAAACTGAAAGTCAGCCGGCACGTCGCAAAAGTGATAAGCCTGCCGAATAGCATGATGGAAGCCGGCGTCACGTTGGGAGAGAATTTGCTCGGTGGCCTCGGCCTCGAACTGCGCAGCCGACTCCTTAAGCCGGGCGATCTCGTTTGCAGCAGCGGCGGCGTCGACCTTCATCTTTTGCACGGTCAACTTCAAGTCATCGGCCTCCCTGCGCGGTTGTGTTCACAAATCATGCAGCCATTAAGTATTTACTCACCAAGCCGAATTCCAAGCCAAGACTCATTAGGTGGATTCTTCTGCTTCAAGAATTTGATTTGGAGATCAACTATTCCATTCACTATTGGGAGTTTAGCTATTGGGAAGGATCTACTTGATTTGGGGGCTAACATCAATCTCATGCCCTTATCTATGCTTCAGAGGATTGGTGATTTGGAGGTGAAGCCCACTCGCATGACTTTGCAGTTGGCTGATCGATTTGTGATGTATCCTCATGGCATAGTGGAGCATGTTCTGGTGAAGGTGGACCGTTTTTTGTTTCCCGCTGATTTTGTGGTGATGGATATAGAAGAGGACATTGATGTACCTCTCATTCTTGGCCGACCATTCATAAAGACTGCAAGAGTTCTAATTGATGTGGATGATGGGAAGCTTAAGGTGAGAGTGAATGATGAAGAAGTCAACTTTGATGTGTTTGACGCCATGCACTACCCCAAGGACAAGAGCAGTTGCTTCCGGGTTGATATAATTGATGGCCTTATCGAAGATACTAGGAAACACGTCTCTTTTTCCACTCCTTTGGAGAAAGTCTTGATCAATGTGGTTGAATATCTCCATGAAGAAGAAGATAGAGAGATTGAGGTATGTCTGAAGAGCCTTGACTCATATAAGGAGGTGACACCTAATTCTGTGCGTATAGAAGATTTGAAGGAGGAAGGGGAGGTGATTACCCCTAAGCTTGAGTTGAAAATACTTTCTTCTCATCTCAAGTATGTATTTCTAGAAGAAGGTGGAAGCAAATCGGTCATCATAAGTAGTTCCTTATCCACATTGGAGGAGGAGAAGCTTGTGAGAGTGTTGAAGTTCTATCAAGGGGCAATTGGTTGGTCTATTTCTGATCTCAAGGGAATTAGCCCAGCTTATTGCATGCATAAGATATTTATGGAGGATGAGTACAAATCGGTTGCTCAACCATAGAGGAGGCTTAATCCTGTGATGAAGGAGGTGGTGAAGAAGGAAGTGATTAAATTGTTGGATGCCGGTATGATCTACCCTATCTCTGATAGTGCATGGGTGAGCCCTGTACAAGTGGTTCCAAAGAAGGGTGGCATGACGGTGATTCAGAATGAGAAGAATGAGTTGATTCCTTCTAGAACGGTCACGGGGTGGAGAATGTGTATTGATTACCGAAAGCTCAACAAAGCTACAAGGAAGGATCATTTCCCACTCCCATTCATGGATCAGATGCTTGAGAGATTAGCTGGCCAAGCTTATTATTGCTTTCTTGATGGTTATTTAAGCTACAACCAGATTGTGGTAGATCCTGAAGACCAAGAGAAGACCGCTTTCACATGTCCTTTTGGTGTCTTTGCTTATCGGAAGATGCCATTTGGACTGTGCAATGCTCCTACAACATTTCAAAGATGCATGCTAGCTATATTCTCCAACTTGGTGGAGAAGAGCATTGAGGTTTTCATGGATGATTTCTCTGTGTTCGGGTCTTCATTTGATGAGTGCCTAACCAATCTTGAAGTGGTGCTTAGAAGATGCTTGGAGACCAACCTTATCCTCAACTGGGAAAAATGCCATTTCATGGTGACCAAGGGGATAGTCTTGGGGCACAAGATCTCTCACAAGGGCATTGAAGTTGACCCTGCCAAAGTGGAGGTAATAGAAAAACTCCCTCCACCCTTCAATGTCAAAGGTATTAGGAGTTTCTTGGGGCATGCTAGCTTTTACAGGAGATTTATTAAATATTTTTCAATGATAGCCAGACCCTTAAGTAATCTCCTAAACAAAGACACTCCTTTTTGTTTTAATGATTCTTGTCTGAAAGCTTTTGAAGCTTTGAAGGCTAGACTTACCTCTGCACCCATAATCACTGCACCGGATTGGAAACTTGATTTTGAACTCATGTGTGATGCTAGTGATTATGCGGTTGGGGCAATTTTAGGCCAAAGGAGGGCTAAAACGTTTCATGCTATTCACTATGCTAGCAAGGTTTTAAATGAGGCACAAATTAATTATGCCACTACTGAAAAAGAGTTGCTAGCCATAGTGTTTGCATTGGAAAAGTTTTGGTCCTATTTGATTGGTTCCAAAGTGGTTGTGTTCACAAATCATGTAGCCATTAAGTATTTACTCACCAAGCCGGATTCTAAGCCAAGACTCATTAGGTGGATTCTTCTGCTTCAAGAGTTCGATTTGGAGATCAAAGATAAGATTGGCAAGCAAAATCTAGTTGTTGACCACCTCTCAAGACTTATAAACGATGAGGTGACCATGAAGGAGAGGGAGATCCTGGAGGAGTTCCCTGATGAAAAACTGCTTATGGTGCAAGAGCGGCCTTGGTTTGTTGACCTAGCAAACTTCAAGGCAGCCGGAGTCATACCTGAAGATTTCACATGGCACCAAAAAAAGAAGTTCCTCTGTGATGCGACCTACTATGTGTGGGATAACCCTCACTTGTTCAAGATTGGATCAGACGGCTCGCTGAGGAAGTGTGTTTCTAAAGAGTAGGCCAAGAGTATTTTGTGGCACTATCACAACTCCCCTTATGGAGGACATTTCAACGGAGAGAGGACAACTACCAAGGTGCTTCAATCTGGTTTTTACTGGCTGACACTCTTCAAAGATGCCCACAGTCAGGCCAAGTAGTGTGATAGTTGTCAGAGGGCCGGGGGAATCACGAGGAAGCATGAGATGCCCTTGCAGAATATGCAGGAAGTTGAGGTGTTTGATTATTGGGGCATAGACTTTGTTGGACCATTGTCTTCTTCTTTCACAAATGAGTACATCCTTGTGGCAGTGGATTATGTCTCAAAATGGGTTGAAGCTATTGCTACACCCAAGGCGGATGGCAAAACAGAAATGTTTTGAGTAAAACATTGGTGGCGACTCCAAGAACCCCTTCTTTTTACGAAAACCGCTAATCTATGAAGGGTCCCGTTTGGGGTTAACATAGGTTGGTGAGAATCATTTAATAAATATTGTTAGTTCGATGAGGTCTCGGTTTGAGAATAAGTCGCTCTAACAATCCATCATCTTTCAAAATCTTAAAAAGAGTCCGACCATCGTCGCGAATGCCAATGTCCGTTTCGGCGGGTGGCGACAGGCACTTCCACCGTTGCGCGCACTCCTCGACCCAACACAAGGATAATTGGAGTGTGTATCCTAACACAGGAACAGTATCAAATAGCATTGTTGTTTTCTTACTTACCAAGTTGTTCACTAAAAAAAACTGCGATATTATCTACGGCTAAAAGTCATTGGTAATAGTGAAAAACAGTTGGTATTAATTATTTTTATATATTTCAACCTTTTAAGTGGAATAGAAGCACGATAACATTCCTTTAGTTTCTAAATAATAAATAGGCTTTCTTAACAAAGTTCTGGTATGACTTTCAACTTTTACCAAACTGTACTGGAATCCTTGCTAATCGTAAAATATTACGTATTTTGATAGCCCAATTCTGAGACGAAGGCGAGTTTTTCACTGTACTCAAACTAGTATCTTTTGAAAATGGTATAGGTTGCAGTAACCGAGAAGAATGTATCTTACTCCATTGATCACGAAAAATGTGGGTTAAGGATCAAGCCATCACACAATAGGAGGTTTGAGGTCAATGTTGTATTGGAAGCTCCCGAAAAATCTATAGTTATGCAAGGGAAAACATATTTGTTCGAAAAGGAGATTTGAATGGACCAGTTAAGAAACAAAATTCAAGCCAATGTTCTATAAACGCATTACATACATGTCCTATTTGAAATGTTTGGATTTAAAGTGACAATCGGAATTTTTTTTTTTTAAATTGAAAGCATCAGAATTATATGTATGTAAATTAATTTCAACACCTTTCGTCTTGGACACATTGCAAGCGCTAGTAAATGAGAATTAAATATAAAATTAAATAAATAAATAAATGAAGCATAAAGCCAGAAATTGTTTTGTACTTTTGTCACTTCAAAAACCATAATAAGAACAAATTTCTATTTTGAAAAAACCAATAAGGGATTAAGATTGACTTTGACTTGATGATATCTTAACTCTTTCTTCTTTTTCTATTTTTGTTGACTAGGAATTTGATGCCTAAACGATTTGACAGTGTTTCAAGTCTAGCCTTCTTATTCCCATTATACACGACCTCTATGGAATGCAGCCGACTAAGAAGTTTATTCAAACAAGTCGTATTTCTCCGCTTAAGTTCACATCATTGATGTATTTTATTTATTCTCGCGAATACATCTGAAGAGTCTCTTAGTCCTTGTTTCATTGCAATATGAGTAATAGTCATAAACTCATAATATTTTTTTGGTTATACATAAGCTCAGTCTCATAATATATACATGTAATTGTATTTTTCTTGTTCAAACCTTTTCATAGAAAGCGAGACATCCGGAAATGACAAAAACCCTTATGGAACCCGCTTCTTAAATAACTGTTAGTACTTGGTCAAACAACTACTTTAATTTACACAACTCGTGTACATAAATTTATTCAATAATTTCTCACCTTAAATATTTAAATCTGACGTTGGAAAAAATCTATCATGCTTATGCCTCTGGAAGATCTCCTAGAATGAAGGGTGGAGAATGGAGATCTTTTGTTGACCACATGCTTGCTAATGAGTTGACGCCTTCGCTACCTGAACTTTATCTAAGTGTCATCTATTTCTCTGTTTTAGTCACAATGCCAGAGCTTGAGGCACGGTAACTACTCTCATCAAAATTCACATGACCAATCCCTCACAATCATAAACATGAAACGTTATTAGTGTTGCACAGATGCAACATAAATTTCCCCCTGACCCCTAAAATAGGGCACCTACATATCCACCTTGCTCCCGAACTGTTTCTCAATGCATAAGCTAAGTTTAATTTGACAAAGGGTGACCCCGGATCTTTACCATAAATGTCATGGTCTCATGCAACTATTATGAACTTCCATAACCAGTCCCAATCTGGCCATTAGAATTTGTTTAAATTCAAAATCAAAAGCTTGAGCTCCAAGGTTAGGCATGTCTGCTTGATCAAGATATGGTAATAATATGCCCCTCAAGGTAGATTTGATTGGCAAGGATGTTCAATAGTACGTAAATATCCTCACTTTGAGGATGGCTATTATCTCCAACAAAAAATTCATGACTCTTACCATCCACCCTTATAAGGCTAGAACCTGGAGCCTTGCTTATTCCTTTCTGCTTCATCAGTCTCCTAACGCTTCTCACTTCAGCCCATTTTTTATCAGTTGCATACAGATTAGAAAGAAGCACATATATGCCACTATCTTGGAATTCAAAATTCTTCAGTGATTTCAACATTTCATGGGTGAATCCAACATTTCCATATGTATTGCAGGCACTCAAAAGAGCTCCTAGGATCTGTACATCAGGGGGCATGGGCATTGTCTTTATTAACTCCACAGCTTCCCCCACCAGTCCAGCCCTGCAGAGCAAATCAACCATGCATCCATAGTGTTCTAACCAGGGAGAAAGATTGAAGTGGGGACTTGTCATCTTATTGAAATACTTCCGGCCTTCATCTACCAAACCAGAATGGCAGCAAGCTGTAAAAACTGCTAGAAATGTCACCTCATTAGGCCTTGTGCCAGAATCAATCAAATCTTCAAATTGTTTTAATGCTTCCTTCCCATATCCATTTATTGCTAGACCACCTATATAAGCATTCCAAGTACGAATATTCTTAGAATGCATTCCATTGAAGATACGCTGTGCCATCTCTATACAACCACATTTTGCATACATGTCAACCAATGCTGTTCCAATATGAACATCCCACTTGATATGGCAGCGATCGATGTATTCATGAACCCATCTGCCATAATCAAGAAGCCCGAGACTGGCACAAGCAGAAAGCACACTAGTCAGTATAACCCCATCAGGCTCAAAACCTGAATCCTGCATTTGACTGAACAAATCCAGTGATTCCCTGGGACACTGCCATTGCACTAACCCGCCTATCATGCTAGTCCAAGAAATAATATCTTTTTCAGGTATCTCATCAAACATTTGCCTTGCATCAGCCACAGATTCACACTTCATATACATATCCAACACAGCATTGGATACCACCAACTCCTCCCCACACAGACACTTGAAAACCAACCCATGAATCCCCTTCCCCAAATTTAAACAACCCAATTTCCCACAAGCCCCAAGTATGCTAACAAAGGTTGCCACATTAGGCTCCACATCCATTCTCAAAAACAATGCAATGGCATCATTAAACAACCCAGCCTTCACATACCCAGATATCAAACCAGTCCAAGATACCACATCTCTCACAAGCATGTCATCAAACACCTTGCCAGCACCAACAGTGTGCCCACAAATGCTATAAACATGGACAAGAGTGTTTTGCACATAGATATCACACCACAAGCCAGTCTTAACAGCTACTGAATGAAACTGTCTAACCTCTCCAATCCCAGAAAACTTGGCACAAGATTTCAAAACTGCAGGGACAGTGTACACATCAGGCACAAACCCATTCCTAACAGCCCATCTAAAAATCAGGATTGCAACCCAGGGTAATTGGCCAGAAGCATACCCAGAAATCATCAAATTGCAAGGGAACGAGCTCAAGCTCCAATCAAATTGCTTCAGGAAATTGCAAGGGTAATGAACATCAGTCACACGTTTTCCGAAAAAGCTTGCAGCTTTTGTGACAACCAAGTCATTGGCAACAAGGGCAGAAGTCAATAGATGCGCATGGATTTGCTTGAAAGATCTCAAGTCGTTGCACTTGTTAATCAAATTCAAGAGAACCCATTTCAGAGATTGCCCGGCCTTAATCATGCTAGTCATCAATGCTCAAAAATCCATGCAAAATCTTTCGCTTTCTGTTTATTACATTATTTGTGGACATAGCCACGCTTATTGGCACGTCTATAAAACTCAGCCAATTTCCAACATTCATGTTCTTCACAAAAATAGTATTTTTATTTCTTAAACTCGGTCTTATGTTTTGAAGTCTTCAAATTTGGAATAGGTTTTACTTCGGTACTTCGATTAACTTATAATCTTATTTTTAAAACATATTTTTTTAAGCATTTTGTTACTATGAAGTATCACTTAAATTCGTTGATGATTAATATTTATTCAACAACTTGTTTATGGTTAATTTTTAGAAGAAAAAAAATTTAATTATATTTTTTTCATACACAAAATTTAAATTTAAGATCTTATTTAAAAAAATGATTTCAATTTCACTCATACCAATCACTTGTTTTTCATATTATATATATATATATATATATATATATATATATATATATA